CATTTACTTAATTTAATTTAAAAAATATAAAATTGTGAAGGCCCTTAGCGAAATATTACTCGCCTTTTATATCTTTTAAAAATAAATTTCACACTGGATAAAATAATCATTTAATTATTTTCTTAATATTAAAAGTTTTAAATTAGCTAAATTTTAACATTATTTTTCTGATATTTAGAAATTTGAAATCAACTAAAATTTTACATAAATAATATCTCCTTAGTTGAACTTCTATATAATGAGTCCTACACGCAAGCTATAACATGATATATCGTAACAATTTCCTTTTCTGAGGAAAAAAAACTTAAGCTTTCGTTTATGTCCTAATTTTGGAAGAAAATATTCGTATTCAACTAATCTATTCTACTCACTATTACAAAAGTATGAGGCAAAAAACAGGAAGACCAACAATTAATATTGTAATTACAATTAGTGTTAAATATATGCATATTTTTAAGGATATTGAGCATGAAAACCTAACAAAGCTAACGAATATAACGCTAATGAATTAGCATTTTATAATTCCTTATGCTATTCAACGAGAATACACATCATACCTACTTTTGAAATTCTAATCCCTATCAAGTTTTAGTTTCTTAGATATCTCCTTTATATAATTTTTAAAAGTACACGATTAGTTTAAAAAAATTACTGAAAATATATTTAAGAATACAAAAAATAAAGTGCAAATGAAAAGTGGTTGACAAGAGTCAATGACACTGATATTTTACCCAATAGTAAATATACATATAAAGATCCAAAAGTAAAATATTATGTCAATATTTTATCCTTTCAGAATGCAGTTCTTGTTGGATAAAATTATAATTAAAGTTAAATATACTAAAAATACGGATGAACTAATTTATGAAGAATTTGAATGAAAAATAATAAACTATTTTCTTTAATGTTGAGAACAAATAATTAATTTGAATTAACTAAGTAATAGAAGAGTTTAATTTAATTAGTTTTCAAATTCATCATGTAAGTAAAGTTATTTTTCAGGATGACAAAACTCTTAGGATACATTATTTGTCTACATAGAAAGAGCATTGATTGTGACATAAATTAAAATAAATAGAGCAAAATTATTTATAATATAGTATTAATAGTCAAATTGTTAAAAACGTAAATTTGAAGTGATAAGGATAAAACAGTAGAAGAAAATATATATTTTATATGACTTGTCATTAATTATTATTATTAGTAATAGTATTTGCATTTGTTCTAACAAACGACAACTCCCTATATCTATATATGTTAAGTTATTTGTTGTAAAATATTAACTCAACATTAGTCATTTTTAAACTTTATATTGTTACTTATTAATTTTTGTCTATGAGCTATAAGGCAAACCCTCTTCTTTCCAAAAGACCAAAAGATTGAATTCTTTAATTTGTTTTATTTACTTGTTGATAAAAAAAAATTTATAATATTTATTTGTTCTGATATTAAGTCATAAAAATAAAAATAATTTGCATAAGATATTCATGCAGAAATCCTCAGAAATCACTATAAAGTATATAAGAATTATAAGAATTTTTTGGCGGGATTCCTTTCCTTATTGAGCTAACTAAATGAGATCAAACTAAATGAGATCAACACTCATACTTCTTAGAACTTATATTTTCTTCTTTACTAATATTTTATTTTATAAGTCAAAAATAAAATTTAATATTTATTGACGCGAGGTACACGTGCAACGCGCGTACACAAAGACTAGTTTGTATAATACAAGGAAAATTTGGACCTTTTTCGTAAATTTAAATTGAGTAAGATAAAAGTCTTCTTTTTTGTCCTTAATCCCTAATGAAATTTTGTCCTGAGGATAATTTTAAGCCAGATAAAGTTAAAGAAAATTTGAATATTTTCAATTTGACTACATAGAGTTTACCTATTTCACGTAAGAGTTTTTTGATGACAAGGGCAAATACGAGACAATTTGCTAGAAAAAGGATATGAATAATCCAAAAGTCAAACAAGTAATGGCTATAGGGGAAGGTTACTAAGGCAATTGCTTTAGGCCCCAAATTAGAGGTCCCAAATTTATCTTATGTAGTATTGCATAGATTGTACAATTATTATTATTATTTAGAAAAAAATACTAAATTTATGCTTCGGTTTGAAATGTGATAGAGGTTAGTTAAAAAGAAAGGCTATTTAGATAAATACTTGAATTTTATAATAAACGCACTATATGTAAAAAAAAAGATTAATTTGATGACGATATTGATAATAAAAAATAAAATAAAGTCTCTTATAGTATCTTTTAGAGTTGATTATTTCTTATAAAGAATGGATCAAAGCCACTTTTTCAATTCAAAATATACTTAAACTATTCCAAATATATGAAATTATTTTAACATCTACTTAGTAATATAAAGTTAAGATCATTAAATGATGAGAACTTAAAAAAAAGTATATTAAATGATTTTTAAGATTTGCCGAAACTTTAGTAAATAGAGTTATTAGATACATTTGAAGATGGTTGCTAGTAAAAAGCCAAGTGCATAGTTAAGATATGTATAAAATGGTTCCCCACACCATTTTTACAAAACGAAAAGAACAGAAATCAAAGTAATTAAAGTTAAAGTCTTTTTTTAAGATTTGCTTTAGGCCACCAATTTCAAAATGAGCTGCACAAAATGAGCAATTTCAAATATTATATAGGCAATTCCAAAACAAATTGGTGGAACGTGTGAAGTTGTGTACTCTAGCGATATGGTATCGCCATGCGATATGATAAGAAAGAAAACTTACCCCACTTATTATTTATATTAAATTACATTAATTTATTATGACTAGTGATAAAAAATAAAGTGAAAATAAATATTAATTAAATATGATAGTTGATAATAGCTTATGTACATATATAAGTTACTAGTCTTGTGCGATGAACGTGTGTGTAGCGTCAATCAATTGGATATATATATATATATNGTTAAATTAGGTGTATAATATTTTGAAATTATACATATTTTATAATATGAGATACAAATATTTTAAGTTGTATCTTACCTCACATCTCTTAATGAATATATTTTGTCTTCTATTATTTCATCCGTATTTCTCCAACTTTACAGTTTAACTAATTTAATTCTTAATGTTATACTATAATCGATTTTGTTCTATTTTCTGATTTCTTCCCTTTTATGGATAAAAAATTATGTACTCTAAAATTTATGTAAACTTGAAAAGTAATTTTATATGTATGATGAATTCGAAAAGATAAAATTGAACTATTCTGCTCATTATTTAATTCAAATACTTAATTAATATTTCAGGTGAATCTCATAACGCTCCTATTTAAAAAGGGTGGCTTAGGTGACCTTGGTTGACGTGCTAATGTATATTTTGTTTGATTTGTTATTCGTATTTTCATTAATATTTACAACCCAAAAATGTTGCATAATTTTGTAAGGCGTGGTTTCTTTCTTTAAGGAGTTAGCTAAACATGATCATCAATTCAATATTTATCATTTTCAGAAACTTACGATTTACTTCTTTATAGGTTTTATTTTATAACTCAAAAATATTTTTCAATATTATTTGTATGATATTTTTAGAAGTTTATGCTCATCAATAAACTGATACACAAGCATCACGCGACCCTAAGACTATGCAATATTCAAGATAACTTTTTTAGTTTGAAATTGTGTTTTTTTCCCCCATAAATTTGCTTAAGTATCTTCTATTTTTAATTTTTTTATTAGCATCTTGGTTGATTTATATTTATATTTTGTTAGTTTAGGAACTCGAACGTTGAGATATCTAAACTAAAGCTTGGCCAAACCTAAAAGAGGACGGATACATTATATCTTTGCATCGTCACAATTGCAATACTATACAATTGTTCTATACGCTAATACACATATAGTTTAATTGTAAAATGTATATAAGGTGAATTTTTTAATGAATTAAAGTCCAAAATTAAATGATTTATTACTTAGTCAAATAAGGAAATACTTAAGAAGTAAAATTTGAGTTAATTTTATAAACTCCTAAAAATTAGAAAAATAATCAAATGATCATTTTGTCGCGTGTTAACTCTATTTTAAAAGGGTAAAAAAGACGAACGATATTTCGCTAAGAGTCTTGTGATTTTAATATAGTATAGATAGATATAGATAGATTATCTTAGGTCCAAAAATTAGACTCTGCAAACTGTCAACCAATGATTGCCTTCATACTTCATTTTGGATCAACTGATCAAACACTTCTAGACAAGAGTGAGTTGCTCTAGTGGTAAACCCCCTCCACTTTCAACCAAAAGGTTATGAGTTCGAGTCACCCCAAGAGCAAGGTGGGGAGTTCTTGGAGGGAGGGGGCCGAGTTTCTATCGGAAACAGCCTCTCTATCCCAGGATAGAGGTAAAGTCTGCGTACACACTACTCTCTCCAGACCCCACTAGTGAGATTATACTGGGTTGTTGTTGTTGATCACACACCTCTAGAACTTTTTTATTTGTGTTGTACATAAGGAACCAAAACATCACCAAGGTTCGTCTCAGGTTCGAGCAAGAAAAATCGTATTAAATTGATTAATTTATAGTTGCTGAAATCATGTAATCATAGTGGTGAGCTAGTTGAGTCGCATAGACCATTTTGTAGATTTTTAACAAAGTTGGTGAACTAATTATATTTTACAGCAGAAAGTGTTGTGATGAGTCATCCAAGTCGTCGTTTGATATATCAGAATATATAGAGCTAAGCTTAATCTCTTGAACCAGACTTTAAAATGGTGGAAGTATAATATTTTAAACTTTTTCACATCTTGTAAATAAGTGTTACTAATTCATCTTATTAGTAATATGCATGTATCATGCTTCTAAAAGTATATTTCTGCAGCTTTAGCGGAAAGTTGACTATACATATTCTCATATTTTAAAGAGCACGATCTGGCACTAGGCTCTTGAGCGGTAAAGCAAGAAGTCCAGAGAAAATATCCTTTTACACAAAGAAAGATGCAACATTATTCTGAATGTATATTATGTTAATGGACCATTAGGCTAATTAAAAACTTCATTACCATGGGGGAAAATCGACGATATACTTTTCCCCTAGACGATATATTATAGTTCAGTGACTGAAATGGAAAATAACTTCACATATCCGCATATATATCAAAAGATAAAACAAAACTATCTGAAGTAGCCTCCACTGAAATTAATAACATTCTCTGTACAAGATAAAGATGTGATTGAGATTATCCGAAATTTATTGGCGCGATTAATCCGACTTTGTACTCATGGGACAAAAGGAAACGCTCCCTACTATAAGTTTCTCCGTTCAAATATAAGTTGAGGTTAAGCTTCTTTTGTGTTTTTTCCTTGTCTAACTAATAATAGGTGAAAGAAGATTCATCTCTAACTTGGGATGTGCTTATTGATCTTGTATACTTCTTAGAAGGAGAAGTTGTTGACAAATCGCCTGACCTTCTTCTTAGCATCTGCCTCATCCCATCAGCTACATGAACTGCAGGATTATTAGACTTATATTTCCCACAAAATGACATATGAGCTTTTACAGCTTCTTCCATCCCAAGAAATTGCTTCTTATAATTCCCTCTGTTAACTTCATATCTAACAGCTTCTGAGCACAATCCACATAGCCATTTTCCCTCAAAATTCCCCTTCACTTCACTAATGTAGTCTTTTGTGCAATCTTCTTTCAGCCCACAACAATCGCACTTTACCAACTCGATTTCCATATCTTGAATCAAACCTGACTTTCTTTCTAGGATTATTATAAGTTTTGATCCCTTTTAGGATTTGTTACTATGTGTTTTTCTTGAAATGCTAATTTGTGGCAAATTAAGGAAGAGAAAAGGGTTAGTGGGAAAGAAGAGGGAGGAAGTAGAGAACTTATAGTAGTAAGGAAAAGGTGCCATAATTTACTCCATGTTCTAAGGGACATACGGCAGTGGAAAAATGAGACAATTTGGTCTAGGAGGGTCCCTAAGTTGTGGCCCTTTCTAACATTAAAAAACAACAGCAAATATAATTTTCTACTTGCCCTTGTCATTTTCTTCTATTTCAAGCTCAAGTTCAAATAAAGAGATTCAATCCTACAATCTCAAGCTCTTTTGAATAATATTTGCAACTGCACTGCAAACTTTCCTCAAGTAAAGGGGATTTAATAACTTTTCTATATATAAAGAATTTGCTTGGTCTATTTGTGCAGTATAATTTTTGCATCGAAGTAAATTCAATTTATAGCTGTTTGGCCAAGCTTCTTTCTCGCCAAAAGTTTTTTTCTTCAAAGTTAAGGTGTTTAGTCAAGCTTTTAGAAGGAAAAAAATACTTCTGAATAAAAGCAGAAACAGTTTTTGAAAAGCAAAATGAAATAAATTCTTTTCAAAAGTATTTTCTTGAAAAATATTTTTAAGAAAAATATTTAGAATTGTTATAAGAAAAATCAAATTATGGTGGATGTCTACTCTTCCTCCATGATCTTCTCAAATGCTTAATGACATATTCAATGACATATTTATGTGCTTAGTGACATATTCAATGACATATTTTTCTTCACTTTTCATGTCTATATAAAGGCCTTGTAATAGATACGAAAATACACACAATTGAAGAAGAAAATCTCTTCCTTCTCTCTATCTCTATTTCTTGTTCATGTTTTACTAAATTGCTTTTATTTCATAACAACATGTCTTGTTCATGATTTACTAAATTGCTTTTATTTCATAACACGTTATCAGCACGACTATGCTCCCATTTTCGTACACCTCCATATAGGCATAGACTGTGCTTTGTGTTTGCTATCCTTATACCAACAATTTTGTGGCTATCAAACAAAATAAAGATAGAAACCAATGGACTGGATACTAATAAAAGATAAGTTTTCATCTTTCTAACTTATTCATATTTTTATTTTTATCTTCCACTAATCTCAAAATTTTTCTATTTTGCCATGATAACTTACAATAAGCTTTCAGTATTTTATTTCCATTTTATTATAGCTTGAAAGTGTGTGAGCCCTGCATTGGCCAGTATAGTTTTTGCTCATTCTTTCTTGACGTCTGATATGAATTTTTAGTTATCGTTTGGCTATCCTTCAAGGGATCTATTTATGAACCAAATCAAAATGCATGAATATATATTTTGTAATTAAATTTTGAAACAGGTACGCTCTACTCAATTCTTTAACTTATATTTAACGTGTTGAATAGTGCTTACATATATGTGCGCAGATATCAGACAACTAATGTGCCCTTTACCCTTTTCACGCTAAGATGAATGTTACTATGGTAATATTTAATGAATAGAACTAAACTGGTACTATTCCTACATAGTTGGTTAAATGCATGCATAAATAAACATAATATTGTGGCAGGATAGTTGTAAGCATAATAGATATTCTGATTTACAGTCAATCTTAGCCTTTGACTATCATCTATAATCCATATATTGTGATGTGAATTGGATCGCATATGTAGATACTGGAAGTACTACAGGAATTATATATATGCTTCCAAGTCCTAGTCTTTATTCTTACTTTATTGATTTGGTTTATCGTTTACAAAATTGGTAAGTGTTCTAATATATTATCTAGTATTTATTTGAATGCACTTCTATTTGAATTCGCGTAAATCTAAAAGTGATAACACTTAGAAGGAATGAAACGTTTTCGTTCTACAACCTTAAAAAGTGATTATATTTATAAATCTTGTTATAACTAATTTTGTTTATGTTTCTGACTACAAGATTGATAATTTAATCTTGTACTTTGGCCTATTATGCAACTAGTTAAGACATATTTAAGTTCTGGTGCACTATAATGATAAGAGTTGGGTTTGAGTCCCAACACATTTTGCCTAACATGCCTTTATATGGGTAAGGCATTGGATTTGAGTCACAATGCACAGTATCGATGAAAGAATCATGAAGCCCGCCTTACTTGATATGCTCCATTTAGTGAAGCAAATGTGACAACAATATATGATAAGTTTGAAAGACGAAAAAATAATTTTTCATGATTGTATGAATGTACGAAGACATGGCAAGGGACAAAATAATAATTTGTCTTCATTATGGTAACTATAAAAGGAGAACAATAAGGGCTCTCGATGTAATCCTTCAAAAAGGTGAAGGAAATATTTACCATCAAAATGGTATGAAAAATTTATAAAGCATGTCACAATAATTATACTCCATTATTTTTAAGAGAATGTGACTTATGATAAACATTGAGAATGCATACTCATTCCTGAAAGTGAATGTGAAAATATATATATGATAAAGATTATGCATAATAATGTACTGGTGCATGGTTGGATAAATACTACAACTCACCTCTAAGGGGGGTTTGAGACAAAGAAAGACAATGAATATTATTGTGTACTTACATGAATATATCATTGGTCGCATACATGTGATACGCTAAAATTTTTGTCAAGCCTTATGAAAGTTATTAAAAGCAAAATTAAAGCAAAAAATTATTTTGCTTATGATGATTTTGAACATGACAATTATTATGATATGATTCTCTTTGTGAAGGAGACATTCATTATATGGATGGTGTGACAAAAGATCTTGTAGTACAAAAGCAGTTAAGAGATCTGAAAGAACTAATTTGTTACTACCCGAATGAAT